ATTCTTTTTGTTTTTATTTGTCTTCAGACACTATTTTTTTAAGTATATTGGAAGAACGTTCCATTCATTAGCCCATAGCCTTGAATAGTTTGATCGCCGTGTGTTTTCAATCCGGCATCACATGGCATCAACAACAGGCCTTCCCAACNCACCAGAATATTACTTCTCAAAAATTAAGGTTTGACGAAGAACAAAAACTACACGTTTACACCTTTGGTAATAGAAATGAGCAGTGATACTCACTGAAAATTCAGCACATAGGTACTCCGGTTCATAATGCCCAAACTAAACAAAGATATAAGTGATATTTTCCATGGTAATTTTACTCTATTAAACCCGCTTACAATTCACGTGGCCGATAAGATGTAGATTATGGTAAGGAGTATAAATATCGATTTCCACTGCACCTTGCAAAGTTGCCTTACGTAAATTTCCGATAGGACGTCGTATAGGAAATTGCCAAAGGTACTATAAGGCAAGGGTTGCCGTAATTCTGAATTTTTTTGTTAAGATATAACGCACATTTTGTATTCTAAAAGTGCAATTCAAAAGCCCGCTTGAACATTTTTGTGTTATTTTTGTAGGTGTGTCAGGGTGTTGTCAGCGATGGTGCCGCGATCGCCCTCGTTGTCTTCGGTGGACTGGCCACCATTCCTTTGTGGGGTTTATTCTGTTGGGCATACCACTTCAAAGCTGAAGACTCCCAGGAGACTTCATCCCGGGCAGAGGACCCACCAACTCACGCCGTTGTAGGTCAGATCTACGTAATTAGACACGTCGCCATTGAAAAAATAGGTGTTAGGAATACAAACAACGTATAGAAGGTTTTGCTATTGTACGTCGGATCGACTAATGCCATTGTACGTCGGATCGAGTGCGGATATTTTTCTTTGAGCAGAAAAAAAGAAGGCAACAACCAAACTTGTTATATTGCTAGATATACTAGTAAATGACACCACATCAAAACAATGCGGTGTGTAAAAAGTTCAGGCTTTTAACTTAATGTGGGTGCCCTTTTAGACTGCAATTCCATGTTTATGATGACTTTTATAGGTAAACACTTTCCTTAATGTGACTGTGCTTTATTTTTTTTACTGTGTGTGACACATTATCATTAATTTTGTCATCGTGTAATCAGCACAAAATGTCGTGTTGTTCAACAGGATTCATTTCTTGTGAGGAAATTAATCTCAAAAAGAATTTTTTTCAATCTTCAATGTTCACCTTCGGCATTGTCTAGTAGTTATTTCTTCTTTAAAATATAAAATTACAATGGTTAAGTTCAACAAAGGTTAATGATAAATGCACCATCAATGTATTTTTGTTATCCAATCATATCCCTATTTCTATTGTCAATGTACGAGCAGTTTTGAACGCCAAGAACTTTTTAAAGCCATCTGTCTGGTAAAATCCAAGGTCAATAAATAAACATATAAATAAATAAATAGAAGTTGAAATATAAAGATATTTAAATATATATGTACAATACATTATATAGGGGCAAAGAAAACAACCAAATCAGCTATAAACATTTGAAATAAATCAATAATATTTTAAATTGTCCTCAGACTCTATAGTTTTAAGCATATTGGAGGAAAGTTCCATTCATTTGGTCCACAGATTTTAAGTGATAGACCGCCGTATGTTTTCAATCTGCCATTACATGGCATCAGCAAAACCTGCTCAAGTGATCTAAAACTACTTATTGGAGCATAACGATAAGTTAGTTTTAGAAGGTAACGGGGTGTTGGTTGATAAAAAAAATTGCATGCAAAGCTCACTGTGAAGTCACTGTGGTGTCACCGTCGGGTCACTATCTGAGCCCACCATGATTTCATTGTATGAGTTAACGGTTACCTCACTGTGATGTCACTCTTTCGACCGGGTTCTGCGATACTTTCTCTTTACATTCAAAGGAGTTGCATTTTGTCCTTGGCCCATATTTTCTTTGTATAAAACCCGCATTTCGTAGTTGTGATTTAATAGTTCAAATATGGTCGAAACGGACGATTCATTTGCAAACTGGTGTATAATCTTGGCATTCGTGGTTGTAGCAGCCTGTGGTGTGGGATTCGGAACAGAGTGTCTGCACGCCGAGGATCGACTGAGGAACAAGGTACGTGAACGGTGTTGATTACCACCATAATATTACTTCTCAAAAATCAAAGTTTGATGACTAAAAGAACAACAACTTAACAGTTTTGTCAATAAATCTGAGCAGTAACACGCACTGAAATTCAACATTTAGGTCTTCCGATTCAGATTGCCCAAACTAAGCAAACGGTAACGGGATGTTTTCCATAGTAACTTCACTCCTTTAAATCTGCATACAATTCACGTTAATAGATACTATGCATTTTGTTATGGCAAGGACTTCATCTATCTATTTTCACTGCAGTCTACTGTACCTTGGAAAGTTTCAAAACAAAACTTCACTGTAGGACGCCCTACAGGAAATTGACCAAAAGTTCTATAAGTTTTTATTGGAAATTGCCCGAGATAAGAAAAATCAGGACATCATATGTAGTTCTTATAGACTCTTATAGGAATTTTATAGTCCCGCCAGATTCTTAGGGCCCATTCAGATTGAGAAGAGCCGAATGCTAGTAAGGCCGCGACCTAAATATGCCGGACCTACATGAAAGGGAGACCGCTTAATCCTGTAATAGTCTCTCCGCCTCTCACACGCCTCCCCACTCGTTACTATCACTAGGCTCTTCTCAATCTGAATGGGCCCTTATAGAGTCCCATATAGATTCTATTCGGCACTATCGTAAGGGTCGCCGTAATTTCAAGGTTTTTTAAGCTAAGATATAACACACATTGTGCGCCTTTCAGCAGTTTATAGCACACTTACACCCCATTTCCATAGATTTTTAGATCGACCTATCCCTGTGGGGAGTCTCACTAGATTACTGTCAGATAATCCGGCTTAAATTTCGGTCCCGCCTACTACAAGCTGTAAGGGGTTAATTAACTATGGTGCCCGCTCGGCTGACTGCAAGTTAGCGTGAACCCCCAGAGAGTTAGGTCGATCTAAAACTTAATCTTTAGATCGATCTAAATCTCTGAGAAAGCACCCTTAGGCTTCGTTCCCATGGAATGTCTATTTTCTAAATTCTATTTTCTATTCGCGGTATGTCTTATGATCACGGTCTGTGCCCTGAATATCCCGCGGCGTAATTACTGGCAGCGCGAGCCAGTTACTTATAGTAACTTATATTCAAAAGCCCATTTTTGTTTTATCTTTGTAGTCATGCCAGGGCGTTGTCAGCGATGGTGCCGCGATCGCCCTCATTGTCTTGGGTGGTCTGGCCATCCTCGTCTGCTTCTCTTTTATTTATGACATATGCTGCCGTGAGAAGGAATCTGAGGAGACTTCATCCCCTCCAGATTACAGCACCACTCACCGGACCCCTCCAACTATCACTGTCGAACGCCAGATCCATGTTACCGTTGTTAGACAATGAATAGACGGTTTTGATGTCTTAGCAATGTCACTATTCATTCGGATCGATATTTACCCTTGATCAGAAAAAAAAGGACGCAACGACCAAACTTGTAAAATTGTACTTCATCTGCGGCTGCATGAAACACAATGTTTATCATTTATATCGACTAGCCTCAGTATATGAATATGCAAACTTAACACTGATTTCAACACGGCTATTCAAAAGCGCGCCACCTGCCTTTATCATATGCTTACATTATTTTTATACCAGGAGTTTTAGAGACCATTCCCAGACCCTATCGTTCTAACTTTGGATCCGAGGGTACTCTCGCTTAATTTCAATTAACTTCGGCGGCTTAGATGTCAGTGGGCCAAAATTTAACCTGATGTACATGTACAGTACATGTACATTCAACGCACCTATTCTTATAATTTTGTGTTAAAAATGATGAAAATATGTAAAACCGTAACAAGATGTGATTGTACTTTTTAAGAGCAATTCCATATGTTTATAATGGATTGACACTTAACCTGATGTGAATGTGCTTTAATAATTAATTTTTTTGTGTCTGATATTTCATCATATCTATTACTATGTTTATTGAGAGACGCAATTTCATGTATGAGAGGAAACAAAATTCAATTTGAAGTAAGCTCAGAAAGATATCTTCAATCATTTTATTTTCAACATCGAAATTGTCAAATAATCATTTCTTCTTTAAAAGATGAAGTCTTTAGGGTTTGATTCAATAAAGGTTAATAACAAATGCACAATCAATTTTTTTTTTTTTTTTTTTTTTGGTTGAGGATAATTCAATCACAAACCTACCTCGATTGGCATAGTGCCAGTAGTTTTAAATATTAGCAATGATCTCTTATGAACTATGAAAATCGGGGAGTAAAATTCAATGAAGGAGTTTATTTTCGCTTCCACTACTCATGTACCATTATATACCATTATAACCCGCCTCGACTTCCATGCTTTTTATTTCTCCATGCAGCAATGCACATTATGAGTGCATAAAACGGATCGTGGATTGATTTATCGTAACGAAGTAACATTATAAAACAATAATTACTAATAAATAAATTAGGGTATTTTATTGTACTCAAACTATCATTACAGATTTTTTATCACAGTCATCTCTTGTCACTGCAAGTTCATGTCTTTGCTGTGGACGGCTACAGTCACCATGATACAGCAAATAAACCCACGAGTCTCAATCCTTCTTCCATTTCTATGCCCCATATAAGGAGACGGGGGAGAACAAGTTTGATCTTTTAGATCTAATATTAGCATGAGTCAAAGGACCCGTGTTGCGTTACCGCTTACCGCATTCACCGCAGCTTATGTTGACGCAAGCTAAGATCGTTAACAAAAGAGAGACTGGGGATACGCTTTACGCCTACCTGGGTACTTAGGAGGCCCAGGTCATGCTGAATAATAACCTGTGACGAAATATTTGCAGGGTCATTGACTCACGTTTCTTACTTCCGGCCCCGCTGCACTCGGTGCTGTGTGTGTGAGATAAAGAGTGAGTGAGCGTCTGTGTGTGTATATAAAGCCATGACAGCAGCACTGATTAACATACATTACATCTCTCTGTCTTGTTCATTACGTCCACTCGTTCGACAACAGGAACCATGAAGATACTGTTTTTCGTTGCGGTTGTTTTATTTGCCGGTAAGTGTTTTTGATGGGATAAGTTCAGAGATGCGCTTCAATAAATTAAAACGTACTGCTATTAGAACTACAGGTCGTTCAGTAAATTTAAACTCTCATCGATATTTACGAATGATTTTCAAATGTCAGTGTTACCCCAAAGCCATTTTTTTTTTCTTTTTTTGGGGGGGGGGGCAGAAACTGTTATAGCGGTTAGATAGGATGTGCAAGTGCATGTACACCTTATTAATTACCTACTATTATGTACCTAGCTTTAAAGAAAGAAAAAAAGGAAACGCTGCGAAGAAATCCATATTTGTTCAAGATGTGTATTGTTTCACTATATAGCTACATTATTCAACAACCGTCAACTCTATAAACAATTCAAAGAATTGTCTGAAGAAAATTAAGTGCATTTTTCTCATCAGTGGGTGCAGATGGAGAAAACTAAGATAGGATGTGCAAGTGCATGTACACCTTATTAATTACCTACTATTATGTACCTAGCTTTAAAGAAAGAAAAAAAGTAAACGCTGCGAATAAATCCATATTTGTTCAAGATGTGTATTGTTTCACTATATAGCTACATTATTCAACAACCGTCAATTCTATAAACAATTCAAAGAATTGTCTGAAGAAAATTAAGTGCATTTTTCTCATCAGTGGGTGCAGATGGAGAAAACTAAAAAATTACGCAAGTTCTGTAATATTATAGAGGTAATTGAATACATTCATCTAAAAGAATGCATACAGTACAATAGGCATGAATGCGAACTGTGCGTTTTATCAATCCTAAGCCAGCAAATGTGGATCAGGATATTTTAACCAAATGTTATTCTCTCTCGTTGTCTCTCCAGGGCCGGTGCAGCGGTCTCAGGGCGTCGATCCAGGGGGCGATTTTTGTTATCAGCAGAAAGACAGATGTAGCCAGATGCTTCCCACCATGGACCTGTGGTTCAACTGGCCTACTTTCAATAACACGCAGCTCCGGGACTTTTGCCTGTAAGTAATCATGGTAAATATGATCCCTCTTTTTCTCATCTCTCAAACACGCATGTAACATAAATAACCACTTAATAAATCACCGTCACCATTCGAGGTTTGAAAAGCCAACAAAAAATAGCACAAGCTTGAACCGCTTAGTCATTTTATATGTGATTATCAGATTAAAATTCAGCAAAAGTTTTCAATCAGGTTAAAAGAACATCTTAATTGCACGAATACACGATCTGCCTTATCACAAATACATGTACATGTAACCTGTATTTCACGAGATATGTTAGTAACACTTCTGGTTATTTTCTGTTCAACAGGAAATTAACAGAGTTGAAGACATGCACGACCCAGTTAAAGAGTAACCTGGGATGTAACGAGACCGCCATCACACTGGAGGCTGAGAGCGCTAACGCAGCCTACCTGTGCAGTGACGCTGGCAAGAAGAGTAAGTGTCTCGACTTCACATGAAAATCCGCTAGGAGATATGTTTTTAGGAAATATTTTAAACTGTCTGGGTCCTTAACCGCCCTTGTAAAATCTGCTGAAATAATCTACACTTTTTTGGAGCATAGGTTGTAAGATTTATTGAAGCATCTGTACCAAATTTTAATGAGTTGATGAAAAGGTTTCTGACGGGTACTTCTTGCGAATTTCACCAATGTACTAGTTTTGATAGACACTGTTACAAGCCTTGGTCACTATCACATAGCTTTGTACAATGCCAGATCACAATAACCAACCTGTCGTAAGAACGGAATTTGTAGGCATGCTGGTGTTGCTGTGAACTGAACATAACTGCCTTTATTTTATCAGAACGACCTGAATAAAAAAATAACAACATCAATAACAATTTCTGTTCATGTACAAATATAGTAATTTCCGTGCGTTAACCCTCTTCAGATTACCAGGACAACCTAGCTTGTTTTACTGAGAGCAGTAGGACCACGGCCGTCGCCAGCTGCTACACAGATCACCTGGAACAAGCTTTTCTGCCTCCAAGCGCAGTAGACAGCGCAGACAGGGCCAGGAACTCGGACAGCGCTGATGAGATTTGCTAGTAAGTTGATGTGATGGGGGAATGCGCTAGGTGAGACGCGTTGTAGCTGATGACTGTTTTGTCTACTACAGCAATGGCTGAGTCAGTCTGAACTAAGAACAGTGACGAGCACATTTGTTTTAACACGATTAGACGGTATATAGAGGTAATGGCTAAGCGTTAAAAAATAGTCATATCTGAAACTATTATTCATTATATTGATAGTGTATTTGTATCCCTGCAGTAAACTATAAACATGCATAAGGTTAACCCTCTTTCGTATGTGTGTCTGGACGTGTGTGTGGGTGTGTGCGTGCGTGTGAGAGAGAGAGAGAGAGAGAGAGAAAGAATGCTGCAAGGACCAAACTTAATGCAAAAAGATGAGGTGAGGCAGCAGTGCCAGTATATGGTACAGTGTACGGACGAAGAATAGGATATTTATACTTTATACTTCTAGCGCCTTTCTCAATTTCCTTACCTAATCCGCTACCTAATTCAATTTCCAGTAAACTGAACGAATACGTTAACTGCACAGGGACAGCGTTCAGCACATGTCGCGCGGCAGCAAGAGAAGTGGCCACGATGACGGCACTAGGACTATACAAAGTCTACATGCTTGATCCACAGATCACGCTTAAAGAGTGTACCATCAATATGGAGGTGATGATTACCACCACCCCCGGGTCAACTAACCAGGGGTCAACGAGTGGAGCGAGGTCAAGGTCGTGGGGTTATGGCGCACACGTCGTCACCGGCATGTTGAGTCTTGCTGTCCTTGCACTGTCATAGATGTCGCTGCAGTAATCACTTTTTTCTGTCATCATTGTCATTACCATTATTGTCATTGTTAGAATTGTAAATCAATCGTGGTGACAGCGTTGATCGTTGTTACTTTGAGTATGACGTTTGTCTAATCTGCTGGAGAGACTTAAAAATTAGGAGAACTAGGCGGGGATCATTTTCGCAGTCTTTTAAATGTCGCTTAAAATTACATTTAAATTTAATTTTAAAACTGTGAAGTCTATCTTCCAAATACTTTGAAGTCCATACAGAACCACAAGACATATTTATTGTATGTTTCCTGATTTTTTTTTCAATAAAAAAACATTATTTAAGTAAGTGCACGCCTACGTTGTCATTATATAGCTTATTGAAATGTACCAGTGTTCTCCATCCACCAGTCTTGTACCTTTAACGTAGGCCTACATTCCGCAAAACCCCACATGTACCAGTATACGTGGTACTCATGTTAAATTCTAAATTAAACATGCAAGACCTAATATAATTGTAAGAACGAAATTAATTGATTAGTTGTTAAAACATCGAAATATATTGCAAAGGGTTTATACCGAAGTTTAGAAAAACTGGAGATCTCTGGTGACTAGGAAAACCAATTCCACACTTGAAGGAGTGACATGATGTAGATATCGAAAGCTTCATTACATTGGCACCCCTAATGGAATAAGGCCATTTCGACTTTCAAACGTTTAAATGGCAAAGATTTCAAAACAATATTATTGATCGGAAATGGAATTTTTCCAACAAACTTCAATGATATATTCGATGTCAGATTACAAAACATCGTTGGCAATCGTATTCAGGTAGGCCTATTGAGAATAGCGTTATAAATGTAAACGGTATATTTAAGTAAATCACTAGGGCCTACTCTATTTAGGAGAACAAAGCGTTTTCAAACTCAAGCACAAAACACCTAGTGTTGATTAAATAAATATCATCGATTGAATTATTCATACATGTAGCAAAAATGAGCTTTAACTCCTGGATATAAGCAACATTTTGGCGGAGGCTCGGATGACATTTTCTACACGTTCGCATCTTACTAGCACCATACTCAGTATCCGTGATCAAGGCCTTGGACGAACCAAACAGTCGAACATTTTTATTTCTGACCAANTCAAAATCGCCATATTTGAACCACTTTGACAATATGTGGTTCGGTCAATAGTCGCCGAATCAACGGCCTGCATGTCCTACAACAAAACTGAACCAAATTGGACAAGTTTTAACCGTTGACTGGAATTTTATTCCAGATTAAATTCTAAAAAAACTATCGCAAGAAATGCCTTGCCTCTTGAAAGCTCTGGTAGCAGGAAGATAAGGTCAGGCATAGCAGCGACTGTTACTGTGACTAGACACTGACATGAGGGTCCTTTGTGGGTCGTGTAACTCTTTTAAAGACGATAATTTGGAAGATATGGAGATCCAAAATATCGCTTTCAATGGTTGTCGTATGACTTTAAATTGGCAATGCATTTTTGTTTGCTTCACTGGCGAAGTCAATTAAAGAACTGATGTCGCAATGATATGGAACATTTTATCAAAAGTTATTAAAACACGATTTTAATCCTTATTTTTATTTATCAGTCTGCAAAATAGGAAAAAAACTGATGAATAATGATTTAAATATATTCCATATTAAATGTCAAGTCTGTACATTCCGCAAAACTATAATCCTACATGTATACGTGGGTACTCATATTAAATTCTGAATTAAACATGCAAGACCTAATATAATTGTAAGAACGAAATTAATTGATTAGTTGTTAAAACATCGAAATATATTGCAAAGGGTTTATACCGAAGTTTAGAAAAACTGGAGATCTCTGGTGACTAGGAAAACCAATTCCACACTTGAAGGAGTGACATGATGTAGATATCGAAAGCTTCATTACATTGGCACCCCTAATGGAATAAGGCCATTTCGACTTTCAAACGTTTAAATGGCAAAGATTTCAAAACAATATTATTGATCGGAAATGGAATTTTTCCAACAAACTTCAATGATATATTCGATGCCAGATTACAAAACATCGTTGGCAATCGTATTCAGGTAGGCCTATTGAGAATAGCGTTATAAATGTAAACAGTAAATCACTAGGGCCTACTCTATTTAGGAGAACAAAGCGTTTTCAAAACTCAAGCACAAAACACACAAAGTGTTGATTAAATAAATATCATCGATTGAATTATTCATACATGTAGCAAAAATGAGCTTTAACTCCTGGATATAAGCAACATTTTGGCGGAGGCCCGGATGATATTTTCTACACGTTCGCATCTTAATAGCACCATACTCAGTATCCGTGATCAAGGCCTTGGACGAACCAAACAGTCGAACATTTTTATTTCTGACCAAAAAGTACAAAATCAGGCAGCCTACACGTATGTCATTTGTGATCACACGAAGAACGTCTTTTCCGGCTCAAGGTTTGTTTAAAAGTCTTCCTCTGGTTTGTCGGTGTCGGGCTTTCCACTTCCGGTCTCGGTATCAACCTGGCAGGTGGGGTTGGTGTGGATCACGAACCCGAAGGTCTGTTGGACTTTTTCTCCCTTGCAAACCAGGGTTGGGTCGCACGGGCAGGAAAATTGGTACATTCCTTTGTACATACTACTTTGAAGGTGGGTCTCGTGCAGTGGGTGGCAGGCGCTGGAAGAAAACCACATATGTACATACTGTAAGTATGTGCAACTATGGAGAAGCCATTTTGTACATTTGGCATAAAGATTTTATCGCTGTGCCTTATATTATGTTAGAATCTTTAGACATTTCGATCCTCAAAAATCACGTGCAATACCCCATATGTAAACGCTTACCAACGTGTATATCTTGGTTCCAAAATAAATAACATAAGCCTAAGTCGCAAATGCAATAAAAAGAGAGATATAGGCATGTCAAATTATCTCCAAGTGTACATCATGTTTAGTGTTATCATATCAAATGTAGACGTTGCCATCTGTCGTGACAGTAAGACACTGACAGCTGGTTATCGAATTCGCCTTCACACGATTGATTCCAGTTTATGACCCTTTAAAAATCTTCTACGTGCGTCCGCCTACAGGTGCGTCAACGCACAGAGAGCGGTGTGTACATGCACATGTATGTACAAAATGCACATGTTTATGTGTGCCAAATCCTCTCTGGCCGTTCGCTCAACCTGTCAGCATGTGTGTGTGTGTGTTTATTTGGTGAATAATTCCTCGTTCACGTGTGTTTCTTGGTGTTTGTTTGAGTTCGCGTTATTCATCATGCGCGCGTGTGCAGAATGTCAGTGTCCATGCACAAGTGACCAGGTTGTACATACCTTCCCTCTTTCCTGTATGGCTTGCACACACCCTGCTGCTTGGTAAATGGCCAGATCAGCTGACGCTTTCCTGAAGATAAATGACTCATTTTTGCTATATTATATTCATTTTCAAATATGCAAATTAATAAACTGGGTTTTATTGTTAAAACGACATTTAGTTATCTTAACAATCCGATCACGTTTATGAGAATGCCATTTAAATTGTTTCAATAACTCAAAGGATTTCCCGCCTTACATTTAACATTTCTTCAAGCAGAACAACGCAGTAACACTGACGTTAGGAGATAAGATGATGCAAACCAGGGAAAACGTGAAACATACTGTACCCATGATTCTCATGAGTATGAATAAATATAAAACTGTTACAATGGTATAGGCGAGACCAGGAAGAAAGGAAAAAATTGATAAAGATGACAATGGCATTTCTCAAGGCATCTGATACACAAATGTACCCTTTAAAACAACAACTATTTAGTAACACTTAACGGCACCAACAAAACCACTGACGTGCCCTACGAATTTCAGCAAACAGACTTTGTACACAGAGCAGTGGCAAACCAGACGATAAAATGTGTCTACGTCACCTAAGAGGGCAGCCTGTCCAAAGATGTCCTCCACGCAGCACTCGCCGTCACCACATTCCTCAGAGGTCTTACATACTGTTCCTGGGGCCTTGGTGCCAAAGTTAAACAGGTCTGGAAGCTTGTTCCACTCGATTCCAAATTGTGCCTGAAGTAGATATAAGTCCACGGCATTATTCTTTATATTATGATTTGGTTTATGTTGTTATAGGAAGACGCATTGGATATAAAGGTTTGTACCATGTACATGTACTAGTGACAATTCAATCCACAATTAAGTAAACTGGTAGACAAGCGTTGGTGTGTGTCTAACATTTGTTGTACAAAAATTTTAAAACGCGGCAAAAAAAGTAATCAGGGTTAAGACGACAATCCGATCGGTTTGATTTATCAAAAAAGAAGAGAATGGTGCCATTACTTTATTACAAGACGTAAATCTTCATCGAAGGTTGGCACGTTGAAACTACATGATTTATGGAAATTACATTAAAATCAAATACTCGTCTGGAAAACAAGACACAATTCAAAACGTTAAAAAAAAGAGGGGAAACATCCACTTACCTGTGACACAGCAAACAAGGTGACAGCGACGATAAGGACCTTCATCACGGCGAGTAGCAGTACTCTAGCTCGACTTACTGTATATGGGCCGGGTAGCGTGTACTGCGCATCCTTATATACGTGTCTGCGTTGTCACCGGTTTGGTTCCATTCACACAGCGGCCGATCTGACAGGTTCTGCGTTGCAACAAACGCTTTCTGACGACGACTGCGTGAATAGACTGTTTTTGATAATTTCTACATGTAACAACGTGGCCTCGAGCCCCTCGCGTCTCAGTAAAACGATGTTCCCTTCGTCGATCAAAGGGATATGTTTCTTTAAAATATTATGGTATAGGTACGGCTGTGTAAACGAGGCCATTGATGCACCAAGTGGGAGAAGTGCAGTCGTGAAGGTGGTATTACTAGTACACAGTTAAGGGATTAAGCGCCATGAAGCCTAATGTTACATCAGATACAAGACGAATCAAGCTTATCAGTTCAGAATGCTTGACGCTATTTGAACTACCAAAGCGAGCGAGCGAGCGAGAGAGAGAGAGAGAGAGAGAGATATTATTTCGGGAATTGACTACTAAATACACGACCCGCGTTTGATTTCACACTTACGCAAAATCCCTACCACTATTTCAATGCAAAAGTAATCTATCAGTACATAACTTGAGCGACGATTGTTACAGGTTTAAGTTAAACATGGGCTGCTTAAGCTCAAATCAACATCAACTCTTATAATCGACGGTAGGTTAATGCGTAATCTATAAAAATGACCATGTAAAGGTACATAGGAAATACCCAAAACCTTAATGTTTTGTCAATTTATTCAATTGAAAACGACTATTCCAATCTGAATTGCAAGAGTGGAGCAACGTCAGGTC